AAAAAAAAAAAAAGAAAAAAAATTTGAATGGACTTTAAGGTACAGATAGAATCTGACAATCAGAGATGGGAGAAGAGTGCTGCAACATTCAGGCGTGTAATTACGGTAGATGTTCAAGGTGCTGTGCGTGATTGATTAAAGCAAAGTGTGTTCACGCACTCATTCAAAAAAAAAAAAAACAACACAACACGGGCACTTGAATAAAAACATTAGCAAAAAGCCTTCCTTTAAAGAATGTGCTCCTCACAAGGCTGCAGGGACAGATGGACTGGAATACAAGCCCCACGCGGCACACCTGACTACAGTTTTGAAAGCAGCAATCCAGGGAAAGACAGCTCCAGAACAGCCCTTGAGGCTGGAAGACACTGGCCCTTAGCCTGGTCTTTCTAAATTGGGGTCAGCCATGGCCCAGTTTACCAAAATAGGTTTAGAAGGACAAAGAAACAAATCTTATAAGGAGCCAGATTATAAAAGGCTTTAAATAGCCAACGCTTCTACTAGATATAATCCAGTTGTAAGAGCCATGCCACACCAGAGAGTGAACTAAAAATCTGTGTTAACCCCGCCAGTCTGAAGGCAGGAGAGCTCCACACACAACAGCGGAGACAGGCTATCCGCAGGGCAGCGGGCCTGCAGCCCTCGGGACCCAGAGGAGGAGGACACAGGAGAACCGCAGTGCCCAGATCTGCCAGCTGCTTTCTGAGTGACGAAAATGACAGAAGTCCGTGCCACGGCCTCTCCAGTCCTAGGCGCACAAGGAGGCTGGCAGGCGTCCAGGCCAGGCGTGCTTCCACTAAAGTGACCACAGATTTCACTCCATCTCTTGCAGACGCTCATAAAGACAGGAGCCAGCATTTTTGAGCCAGCTTGAGGTTGTGAGTGGCTCAGCCAGGCTCTCAATAACTGAGTGTCCAGAGGCTTCCTGAACACAGCATAGGGAGTGAAGACTCCTCTGTAGACCCTTTGCAAAAAGAGGTTCAGGAGTTAGGGGCACCTACTCGAGCTGTCGTAAGAATATTCATACTGTTATGTTAAATATGCTTGATTGTTTCTTTCTTTCTTTAAAAGATGACCGGTAAGGAGAATTTAACCCTTAACTTGGTGTTGTGAGCGCCACGCTCACCCAGTGAGCGAACCGGCCATCCCTATATAGGATCCGAACCCGTGGCCTTGGTGTTATCAGCACCACACTCTCCCGAGTCACGGGCCGGCCCTTTGATCGTTTATTTCAAGTTATCAGAATCAAATTCAGTTGCTGGCTGTGAGTTTTCACTTATGTCCCACTCTGCCAGCTTATTTTCTGATTCCTTTCTCACGGAACAATATTTAAATGCAAATCACAGGAAGGTGTGATTATTCAGATCCAGAACCTCATTTTTTAGCTTAGCCTGACCCCAGCATTATACCTTCCACATGCAACTCCTGGACCAAAAAAACAGCCCAGTTATGGGACGAGGATTTGGGGATTGCTATACTTCTAGTCATAGACCTAAAATGTTCTTCAGTATAAACAAGCAACAGAGAAATCAAATCGAACCTCTGGCATGGGACAGCTGGGGACATTTCTTGATATCGTAAAGCTTAAAACTAGACAATGAAAATGCGCGTTCAAACACAAGGTCACAGTTGCACAAGTGACCGGGGAACTGTGTGCATCATCTGGACACTCAGATGTCAGTGAAGCAGCAGCACTCGTTTTATGTTTGGGTCTCAGGGGTTGGGGGGGCATCCAGGGGTACAGTGAAGAAAGCAGAGATTCTGGAGCTGGACAGAGCTGGGTTTCAATTCCAGCTTTCCTACTCCCTCTTCCCGTGATGCTGTGCAGGCATGTGCACCTCTCTGGGTGCTTCCTCACTGGAACAAGGGAGACCCTCAGAAGAGGTCACTGCAGTGCAGGGTCTGACCCACAGATCCTTGACGGGAGTCAGGGCCATCCCTGGAACTGGATGCAAGGATGAACATCCAAGTCGTTCAGTAAATGTGTGCTGAGTGTCACCAAGCATGCCTCCGGACACATCCAACATTCCGGCATGAGACCCCGGGCACCATAGACCTTCTTTTGAGAAAAATATCAACCCAAAGCCCCTCCAGGAGATATCTCTTGGTAGTAAGACAGCCTACTTTCAAGTTCCCAGAAAAATTTAAAACTCCAAGAGGAGGTTGTGATTGGGGCTCCCCTGGGGATTCTAAACCAGTCTGACTGGGAGCTAAGGAGCTGAGGTCCCCCCCACTCCCAGCACCTCACGACAGTGAGTTCGCGCGTCACAGAACTCTGGGAGGGACTGACTCCAAGGGCAAAGAAGTGACCACGATGGGAGCCAGCCTTGAGCAGCAGCTCCTCTTGAGGACCCCGCTGGCCAGCCTAAGTGCACTGCCACTGTTGGCCACCGTCTCGGGCCCTGACGCCTTCCGGCAAGTGCCCAGGGCCACTGCCATTCTCCTTGCCCTGGTCTTCAGAGAAGGTCTGCAAGGGACCGCAAGCTCCCAGGAAACGGGAAGGGAGCCAACGCGGGCACAACAGCCAAAGCTCCCCCGTGAACCCAGAAAACCTCGACAGGAAGACAGATGGCAACTTCCCAGACGATGGGGATCGGACAGGACCACTTACGTCGTGTCGAGGGTCTGATTGATCTTTGCGATTATCCCTAACGAGGGGTCGATCTTGGCGTACATCGTTGACATCACGCCCACCACCACAATCAGCCAGCTGGAGGGGCTCGCCGGGTACACACCAGTGATGATGCCGTTCTAGAATCAGACACGAGAGCCGTGAGCAGCGTGCTCCCTGCAAACCGCGCGGCAACCACAGGCTCGGCAGCGGGAAGGAGGTGCCTGCAGCTTGGGGGCGGCTCAGGGACCTTGCTCCCACCGGCTGGAAATCTCCCCCAGACGGGATGGCCTGTGGCTGTTCCTACTTTTGCCCAGTCTCTTCCCTTCCTCCACCTCTGAGCCCAAACCCTCCCTGAAACGCTTTCCAGGAGAGACCTCAGGACACTATGATCGCCGAGGCACTAGTTTAGCAGATTCCTGACTCACGACCACTGGTTAAGGATGTCGCTGAGCCACCATGAAGTCCTCTCCCAATCTGCTACTGTCTAGGATGCCCCGAGACCCCCCTGCTCCAAAACTACCCCTCCCACGGCTTCTGAGTCAAGACTCTGCTTACTTAACCCTGAAGCATTTACAGGAGACCTCACTCCACGTGTAGAATATGCTAGAAAACACTCCAGCAAAAAAAAAAGGAGCGGGGGTGGAGGGAGGATTATATGAAACAAAATTGGCAAAATGTTCATTGTTGAAACTAGGTGGTCAGGGGTGGAGATCATGATTCTCTTCACTTTTGGGTATGTTTGAAAACTTCCAATTAAAAAAAGATTCTTACTAAAGTCATCTGAATAAAATATTGATTTGACTGCAAAAACAGATTTTATAAACTATCAAAGCTTCATTCAAATTCTTTCAGAAAGACTGACAGCCCGGCTGGCTCCTCCTCCCTAACACACCACGTGATGAGGCACGGCTGCACACTGTCTATCGCGTATGTTCCTATCAGTCTTGCCTCCTCAGCTATACCACGAGGTCTTTCGATTCAGAGAACAACATTTCTGCTGGGTTGAATATGATGGCCAAGCCTCTGCACCCAAGTTTCTATTTTCTTAAATTCAAAGGTAAAAAGGACCAGCTCTCAGCAGGAGTCTGCTGGTCACATTTAGCTTCCCCCCCTGCAGGTGGCACCATCCACCATGGTGGATTACACTGATGGGTGGCCTGGCAAAGGGACCAGCTCTGCCATCCGCCTGCTTCCCAGGACTCGCCCACCTTCTACCCTGTCCTGGCTGCCACCCACTCTAGCTCTTGGCCTTTCTCAACAGCCATCTTCAATGCTGCCCTCGGAAAAGGGACACTGGAGACACGCACACTGAACAGCAGCTACTCCCGGGGGACAGGGACTCGCTTTCGACTTGAACATACATGTGGTTTGCATATTTTCAAACATGCACATAAATTAAAATGAACAAAAAATAATACACGTGTTATAAATTTCCACTTCTGGTAAACAATTTAGAACACGTGGAGTTGGCTATATTTGAATTTACATGGATAGTTTTCAATGTTTGGATATTTTATCAGCAAGGTAGTTATTAAATAAAATCGCTGAAGTTTGGAAAATAATCCTTCTTCAACAAGGTTTAAAGGATTCCGGCTCAGAGCAGAAGACGTGGGTTCTGGTCTTCACACGGCCTTCTCCTAAGTAGTCACTTGCCCGCTGAGCCTTGATTTCCTGCTTTACAGTGTGCCCATGTACTCTACCCGCCTCACAGAATTTCTTCCAGAATGACCTGAAGGTGTTCCATAAGCCTTAAGTACCAAGGAAACATAAACTATATGCCAATTACCAGTGTGAACTACTCATAGTCAGCAGCATTAAGAAACCTGTTCCTAGATGTTAGTGTGAATATTGTGCAGACTTAAATGTCAGAAAACCTTGAATCTGATGAACTTCTTTTTCCAGGAATGAAGTCCAGAGAGATAGATCTGCTTAAGGGCTTCATGGCTCAGCCGCAGGTCGATCCCGTCCGGAGTGACAGTGAACTGAAAGGCCACAGCCTGGTGAGCCTCTGCCATCTTCAGCGATTCCTGGAAGAAGGGGGAAAATGTAATACAGGCGAGCATTTTACCAGATATTAGAAAAATCCCTCCTGCAGAAGTGTAGTTCGTTCTGAATGTTTTTTCTCCTCATTCAGCAGAGTTCATATTTTTCACAAACAGATCTAATTCTGTCAGCACACTTCACACACCCTCTCCTGTCCAGTGCCGTCCAGAAGATCGCTGCCTCTGCCTAGAGGCCCGGGATGGTCAGCAGAGGCTATGGAAGCCCTGACTTCCCGGCCCTGGCCACCCCCAGAACCACATCTCCAAGCCAGCATCCCAGGCCCCGCCGCGGACGCAGGAAGCCGACAGCTGTTCAGCAACTCAACTTGCACTGCAGAGACAAACCCCACTCCTGCTGACCAGCCCCGCTGGAGGCTGGCACAGAAGAAATCCAGGGTAACCGCCAATGAACCCACAATGGCCCCGAACCCCCGACCTTCAGGTGGGAGCGCTGGACCATCACGACACACCTTTACTGCTGGTGTTCGTGGGGTTGCTGTTTTGAGAAACCACTTTCAGCTTTCAGTGAGCCCCCTCCCCGTCTCTTCCCAAGCTGTTTGCCACAAAGTATTAAATGGAGAATAAGGAAGATAAAAGGAAAAAAACTAACAAAGAACCATAATAAAAACCCAAAATTATGTGTGTGGATATTCTTATCACATGATAATTTCCCTGTTTTACCCACGGATGCCCACTGAGGGCCAGATGTAGGACCTATCAAAACCCATGGGTATCAGTTTCAAAGACACCCAGTTACACAAAAACTGGCATAGTCTCCAGCTTGTCAAAACACAGAAGCGATTCCATTAGAAGCCCTTGAAAGACACCCAACTTTAATTCATTTGTTCATTCAACAAATATTTGTAGACGCCTCCTCTGTGCCAGCTGAGGAGAGGACCTATACACCAGCAGCAGCTTAGAGCAAGCAAGCAAGTAATGCCTGAATAGCACTCAGGTGTAGGAAGAAGATGGGGTGCAAGAAGGGACCTCCCAAGAGACACAGAGGCCCAGAAGGACCAGTCACAGGAAGAGCAGGTAAGCCTTTCAGGCCCAAAGGCAGACCTTGGGAAGGACATGGAGATAGGAGAGAGGCTCGGCTGGGGCCAGCAAGCAAGGGCAGCTCGCTGGGGTTGTGGGCAGGAGGCTGGGTTTGTGGGCAGGTGGTTGGGGTCAAGGGCAGGAGGCTGGGGTCAAGGGCAGATGGCAGGATTTGGAGAGGAAGGCAGAGGCAGTCTGTGGGAGGTGGCTGGGTTTTGTGCTAAGGGTGACAGAAAAGCATCCAAGTCCTTCCAGGTAGGGGTACCTGTTATTCTTCATGTTCTCAAGACCACGCTGGCTGCTCAATGGAGCACGGATGGGGACAGGAAGCAAGACCAGTAAGAAACTGAGTCAGTCTTCAGGAAAAAGCAGACAGGCCTGGCCCAGAATGGTGAGGGTGACAGTGCAGACAGTGACCCACTCAGGATAGGTTTCAGAGGCACCTGGGCTGGATGTGCCGGTGAAATGGACCCCCTGGCTTCTGGCCTGAACCATCTGCTCAGGAGAGCCAGGTACTGGCACGGGAGAGTCTGGGTGTGAGGAGGATACAGGCTGGGGATGGGAGTGGAGAATCCACACATGGACCAGCTACCTTTGAAATGTCGCCAGGGTATCTCCTCCTGGGGGCAAGACAGGCATGAGAGGAGCAAGGAGTGGCTGGGGTGAGGAACACGCCGGGAGTTATCAGCACACAAACCTGAGAGCTCTGGTCTGATGACTTTGAAGGGAAGGATCAAGTTGGCAAAACTACATGCCACTCTGTGTAACCTTAGCGTGGAGCACCCTGCAAAGCATTCAGCAATATTCACATGTTACGTAGCAGGCATGGTGCAAACTCCACGGTCCGGCCAATTTTGAAGAAACAGATCCCATTTTTGAAAGCGGCAAGTGATAAGCACAAGCTTGCTACAGATCAATGTACAATGCTGTAGAGGGAACCAAAGCAAACAGCTCTGAATCCATTCCTCAAAAAGCTACCCAAGCGGCCCTAGGACTCTCCCAGCCTCAAGGTTAACTCCCAGCCCCCTCCCCAATCAAAGCCTTTACAGTAAACTGAGGCAGGCATCACAGATGAGAACTGCTGAGCATGCATGGTGGCAAATAAAATGTCACAACTGTCTGCCCTTTCAATGATGTCTAAGATCTCCATGGCTTTACACAGAACACAAAGACACCCAGTTAATGGCAGTGGGTTATATACAGTGTTTGTAGCCAACTCGATCCAAAGGTATGTATGTGACGTCTGCTCAGAAATCTAACCTCGGGCCGGCCCGGTGGCACACTGCTACAGTGCGCCGCTTGGTAGCACGGCGGCGCTCCCGCCGAGGGTTCGGATCCCACATACAGACCGGTTCCTGCTCACTGGCTGAGCGAGGTGAGGGCGCAACACCGAGGGTTGCGATCCTGTTGCCGGTCCCGGTCCGGTACAGGCGCGACACTGAGGGTTGCGATCCGTTGCCGGACACGAAAAAAGACAAAAAGGAAAAAAAAAAAAAAAAAGAAATCTAACCTCAGAGGGCTAGCCCGTGGCTCACGTGGGAGACGGCAGTGCTGATAACACCAAGGTCAAGAGTTCAGATCAGATCCTTGTACCAGCCAGCTGCAAAAAAAAAAAAAAAAAAGAGAGAGAAAGAGAAAAAAGAAAAGAAATCTAACCTCTGCTAGGGAGAGTCAGACAGACTGGGGATACTTACAGCATCCTCCCCAAGAATAAATGCCCTTGTCAGAACTCCCTGAATTTAACAAAGGATTTGTTTATTTTTACAAGTTCAGAGTAACCATGAGAGTCCTAAATGGACAATTTTTCTAGTTTTGCAGTAGCTGAAAGGGGCTGCCCTGAACCAGCCTCTCCCTCTTCCAGCCATAAGCAGGAACTAGTGAAGCACACAAGAAGGGCCTGAGACGCCCCCTGGGCAAACTGGATGAGCATAAATCCCTCGGTGCTGGCCTCATCAGCCTCGCACTCAAAAACGGTTAGGGTTAAAATACTGCCTGCAGGAGCCATCAGGGAGTACAAGCCAAAACCACAGTAAAATACCACATCACAAACCCACCAGGATGGCTAGAGTCAGACAGATGGAAAGTGTTGGCAGGCACGTGGAGAGACCGGAACCCTGCTGGTGGGAATGTAAAACGGTGCAGTCATTCTAGATGATGGAGTTTGGATGTGTTGTCCCCTCCAAAACTCATGTGGAAACTTGATCCCCAATGTGACAGTGTTGGAAACTGACTGAGTCACCGGCACGGATCCCTCAAGAATGAATTAATGCTCTCCCTGGGGGAGGGGGAGTAATGAGTGAGTTCTCCCTCTATTGGTTACCGTGAGAGCTGGTTGTTTAAAGGACCCTGGCACCTTCTCTCTCTTGCTTCCTGTCGCCATGTGATCTGCTTGTACCTGCCGGCTGCCTGCCACTTCCCACCATGAGCAGAAGCAGCCTGAGGCCCATGCCAGATGCAGCTGTCCCAGAATCGTAAGCCAAATAAACCTCTTTTCCTTATAAGTTACCCAGTCTCAGGTATTCTGTTATAGCAACACAAAACAGACTAAAACACTGGAGAACCATCTGTCAGTTCCTCAAAAGCTTAAACATGGACCTGCCACATGACCCAGCAATTCCATTCCTAGGCATGAACCCAAGAGAACTGAAAACATGCGTCCACACGGAAACGTGTACACAAATGCTCGCAGCAGCATGATTTGTAATAGACAAAAAGTAGAAACAACCCAAATGCCCTTCCACTGACGAACAGATAAAAAGTAGCATATCAATGCAACAGATATCACCTGTCAATAAAAAGGCACAAAGCACTGACACCTGCTACAACACAGACGAACCCTGAACACATGATGCTTGGTGAAAGACGCCAGACACAGAAGGCCATGCATTGTATGGCTCCGTGTATTTGAAATGTCCAGAATAGGCAAATCTACAGAAAGTAGAGGAGTGGTTGCCTAGGGGTGGGAGCAGAGGGAGGGTTTGGGAAGTGGTGGCTATGGAGGGGAGAGTTTCTTTTGGGGGGCATGAAAATGTTCCAGAATTGACTGTGGTGACCCACTGCAGCACACACACTGCAGAGGGGCAAACTGTATGGTACGTGAACTGTATCTCAATAAAGCTGTTATACACATAATACCATCCCATGAACTTAAAGTGCTGTCTGTTTAACATTTACACACCTAAACCTTCTCTCCTCAAACACATAATTTGGGTGGGGTGGATATGTTATTTCTCTTTTTGTCCCTACCCTGTCCACCACAGTGCTGTGGTCACACTAAGACTCATTCAAAACCATTATTACCAAATGACATTAAGACTTACTGTTGGTGGGCCGGCCCGGTGGCGCACTGGATAGTGCGCTGCTTGGGAAGCGGCGCTCCCGCCCGAGGGTTCGGATCCCACATACAGACCGGTTCCCGCTCACTGGCTGAGCGAGGCGCGGG